AATTTTAATATAGTATTTCTTTTTGTTAGAAGAGACAAATCAAATCTTTTCCCAAAAATATCCAGGGAAACTTGCTCTACATGAGGCCAGAGTAAAGAACTCTAATCAAGTCACCTGTAAGATAGTATTCACCTACTTGTAAGGTGAGACCTGTATATCTGGGGAGAGAAGGTCCTAGTGGGTTATTAATATTGAGGGGTGGAGAAGTGAAGTAACTCAAGGTCATCAGAGCAGTAGAGGTCAGGACACATTTGAGAAGAGTTAGATGTGACAGAGTTTGAGAGCCACGGCCACAAAGAACTCAAAGCAGGAGGAATTCAAAGTCCCCACAGGAGGGGATGGGGGAGACCAAGTAATAGAATTCAGGACACTCTGGCGTTAGTATGGTGACATTTTATTCTAACACTTATTGTTTAGTGATCAGAAGAGACCAAAATGAAACAGTACTGCTCAAAGATTGGCCATAGAAATTAGAGGGAGCCAGGAGCTGAGCGAGACTGCTTCTCTGATGCTGTTTTAATTGTGTGTCAAATGTGAGTCCCAATACCTCACAGTATTGCCGTGTCAGATAAAGTCATTAATATTCATATGCCTGGTACATGGTAGGTGCTTGATAAATAATTTTTTCTGTTTCTCATCTTCCTTCAAATACATGTCTTCTGGAGCAGAAACCCCTTTTGGCTAACAACAGGACAGCAATGGCCAGACACTCATGTGTGGAGAAGGAGAAGGAATGATATTTTACTCAGGGTGACATTTTACTCTATTTGAGTGATTGGTCCTTCTTTATCCAACTTAATCTGCACTCTTAAAATTGTGGGAATTTTTCCTCATGTTACGCCCCTTCTTTCTGCTTTCTTCACATACTTCTTCCTCATGACCAAGAAGCCAAATTTTCTCTCAAGAATACTGAGGACTAAGATCTGTTTTGTTTCATCCTATCCCTCCAGCTAAAATTTCCAACTGCATTTAAATGTAACTCTCACCTCTTCAGACAAATCACAGATATTAATGAGAAATACAGAATGGGGAAGAATTCAATACTCACGGCCTCTGGGTATAAATTCTGCTGGGGGTTCAGAGTGACCACCTCCACCACAGGCAAGATGGTGGACAGCCTTGGGATTGGCTCTCTGGGGGTCTCTACAAAATGGGGGTTATCTACAAAATGGAGGATAATTAGTATCCACCTCATAAGGTTGCTGTAGAAACAAAATGACAAAATTTTTTACATAAAATTTTTGTATGGGTTTGCTGTTAGTACATACCCAACTACTTTTATATTCAGTAAACTAGCAACTCGAATATATTAAAGTTATAACATTGGCTAATATTTAAATATGTAGCATACAAGTCTCTTAAATTTACCATAGAATAATTATACGTTTAAACAATATACTGTTACATATTTTAATATTATCCTAATATCTTACTATTAGATTTCACATAGTAAGTAGCTGACACTTTATTTTTCCAGTGCCAGGCATATGTTAGGCACTCCAGTTTTATTGAATGTTCATTTTATCAGCTAGGTGAACTTTAGTTACATTCCTACCTTACTTATTTCCATATATATTTTTACATTACTTAACTGCGTATAATTCTCTATTTGGATACCCTGTAGCCTACAGTGACGCATGAGAACTAAACAGCAAACCTCCGCCTTCCCAAGAAAAATGTTTCTAGCCAACAGAAGCTGGCTGAACCACAACCTGCAAGAATACTGCAGGTGCCACACAGCAGCCACTGTGAGATCAGTGCTGGTGTGGTTCGGCGACACCGCGTAAATCCACGTGGGACAGTGGGACCGAGTCGGCACCTTGGGGCTCGTTTGCCTGCACACCTGTTGCGAGCATAAATTCCCCTCAAGTAGAACACACCACTGCTTCCATTTCAAGGCCAGCCAGCCTGAGGGTAGCTATCAGTGCAAGATAAAAGGTGGCAAAAGTTCTGTCGAGCTTGACTATAACCCTAAATTGGAAACAATCTGATTTTTTTTTGTTCCAATACAAGTAGAAAAAATGGTACTAAAACTGAAGTCCACTATTTGGCCCAAGACCAGAATCCTTTGCCTGCACGCTAGGTGGACATTGTGCAATGTATGGATTGATGTCCATCCTGAATGGGACTGGCCATGCTTACTTTCCATCTATTTTATGAACAAGTTCTCCAGCAGTTTAAAGGATCGGGCAATTCAGAAAGGAAAGACCAAATGCTTTTCCTCACAGGCGCCCTTAGAGGACGCCAACCCTAAAAGGGCATCTGCTCTTGTGGAGGGACAGAGCACTCCCACAGCTTCACAAAACTCCAGCGTCCCGGGGCGGGAAGCCTCCCCACACCCCTGCTGACTCACGGTGCTGCCCAGAGAGCCCTGACCCAGCAGCAGCCCGCAGGCCCACTCAGCTGTTGGACACAGATGGTGGCGAGGTGCAGAGAGGCTCACCGCAAAGCCTGCGTGACGCATGTAAAAGTGATCATTGCATTCCGGCGATGCAGGATTCCGCCTGTGAGCTGGCCCTGCGGGGTCCTCATCCAGCTCTGCGCCTCCACAGGCCTTCGGGACGCTCCTCCTTGGCGGGTCCCCCATGGAACTTGCCACGGACCCTTTCCCACCCCAGACGGCAGCTGTTGCTCAGGGCTCCTCGGCCTGTGAGTAAAGCCCAGAACTCATGCGATCTTGGCCTCTCTAGCAGGACAGTCTGTCGCTGCTACTTTCAAAAGTGACCTGTGTCCAGCTCATCCACTGCCAGTTCAGGGCTCAGCCTCCCGCCTGGGGTCCCCACCAGCCCTGCCTGTTCCGTGCTTGGCCCTTGTTTTCCTCGGAATCTGAATCATACCTTATCCCTCCCTGCTTTAAGTCAACCAGCGTAGGAGGAACCCCTTCTGTGCTGTGTAGCATGACAGGATGGCTTGGGTTGACAACAATTAACTGAGTAACAGGCCTAGGAGAGATATTTTGAACATCCCCAACACAAAGAAGCGGCGTACGTCTGAGAGGGCAGCTGTGCCAGTCGCCCCGGCCTGATCACTCCACGTCAGGTATGTGTACCGAGGTGACACACTGCACCCTGTGAATCTGTACTGCCACTGTGTGTCAACCAGAAAGAAAACATATCTAAAGTAGATCACACAGCCAGTGGATTCTCAGTGCCCTTACAATAACATCTGATGCTGTAGAAGGACCCAGAAAATCCCGGCTGGTCTGTCGCCTGCAGGAGGAGCAAGGAACTGTTCCTCACTCTGTGCTTTAACACCTGGGCATTTTGCTGAATGAAGTAATAAATGAAAAAGTGGCTGAACATAACCTATCTTTACGTACAATGTAATTCCACAGAAATGCCGACTGCATTTGTAAGCGTGAGATGTTGCCGTATGATGAGCTCTTGTTTCCTGGTTGTGGGACTTGAGAACCAACTACTTCCTGTCTTTACCCTCAGTTTAATCACCTGGGAAATGGGCACAGGAATGGCACTAACCTTGCATAGCTGTGAGACACAAGGAAGGAGATGTGCATGAAATGTGAAGCACGGTGCCCGGCACATGGTATGCACTCAGTAAATGCCAAGTATCGGTGCAGGATTAGTGCTCCCCTTACCTGAAAACAAAAATGCTAGTTTTATTTGGGGGAACTCATGTACCACCCAGGTAGTGGTTCCCCAAACCGAGTGCTGTGATGGAAAACACAAGATCAGGTTTTCTTCTGCATTCCTACCAGGAGAATTCCCATCATGAACCACGAGCATCTCTGAGCTGGAATCTTGCCCTCCTGCTCACTCTCCTAGAATGCCCAAGACCCTCCCAACGATGGCCCTGTCTTCAAGTGATCTCCATCTTCCAGTACAGTGTTTTGATTAAGAAATAAGCTTCAGAATCAACTTCCTTTATGGTGTCGTGCATCCAGCCCCACCTTTCCCACCTACTTTAGCCTCAACTAACATTCTGTCTTCCTCACCTTAGTGGGAGAAGCACCCCCACTGGAGGAGGGGCCGTGACACGGTCAAGGACACGGGACCTGCAGCCGCATGGGTTGACTCCAACGCTGAGGACTCATTAATGGCAAGGACCCTGCCCCGCATGGCCCTGGGCTTGCTGTGGGAGTGACAGGGGACAATCTATGCAGAGCACTCAGCAGCATTGCTCTGCTCAGTGCGTGAAAATGATGGGCCCCCACTCAGAAACTGTAGCATCTTTCCCAAGTGCAAATCCACTCTGCCACATACCTGCTTCCAACACCTGAGAAAAGCCCAACTGCCTCCCTTCTGACTGGCCCGGCCCAGTCAGGCTTCTGGTGAGAAAGCATCTTACTTCAGAGCAGGCTCAGATGGCGCCTTTGAGGGCACTGGGCAGGGTCCCGCACGCCACCCACATGTGCCCCTGCCAAGCCTGTGTGAAGGGGATAAAGGACAGGGACTTCTCCCACAGAAACAAGCCCGCTTCTCTCTAAATTCCATACCGTCATCCTCACCGAAATTGCTGGAGCTCCAAAGAATAAACTTAAAACTCTTTTGCACCTCTCCAGCCAGTTAGTAGAGTACCATGCACCATCTTTGGTCCCTGTTGGAATAGCCATCAGAAAGACCACTTATCTCTTCCTCTGAAGAGTAAACAAAAACGTAAGAAGACTTGCAGCTAGCTGCCTGGCATGCCAAGCCAAGCCGGCATTGCTGCTGTGTAAGGGTTAGCAGATAATGACTCCGGCCTTTGAAGACGAAATGAAGCCTTCCACACAGTCCCCCCCGGCCATTGTGAAGAGTCCAAATCTGACAGCAAAGCAACCTAAATCCCTTTTATGAGGTAAGAAGTGTGTCTGAGGTAATGAACACTTAAGTAATTAGATGGGTTTTATGGAGACAACTCTAACCTGAAACACGGGGAAAATAACCTTGGTAATAGGCTGACGCCCAGGGAGGCCGGTATATAAGGGCCAGGGCAGGAGCAAAGAGCACTGAGACAACCACACACCTCTCCTGTCAGCCAACACCAGCCCGCCTGCCAGCGCCATGGCCTGCTGTGTCCCCCGCGGCTGCAGTGTCCCATCCGGCCCTGCCACCACCATCTGCTCCTCAGACAAGTCCTGCCACTGCGGGGTCTGCCTGCCCAGCACCTGCCCACACGAGATCAGCCTCCTGGGCCCCACCTGCTGTGACCCCTGCCCCCCACCCTGCTGCCAGCCGGAAGTCTACGTGCCCACCTGCTGGCTGCTCAGCACCTCCCACCCAACTCCCGGCCTCAGCGGCATCAACTTAACCACCTTTGTTCAGCCGGGCTGTCAGAATCCCTGCGAGCCCTGCTGCTAAGCGCCCACTGTGAGGAGGACCAGGGACACAGCTGCTCAGCCTCCTCCCCATCACCCTGTTTTCCACCCCAGGCGCTAACCCAGTCCAAGGCCCAGGGCCAGCTCCCCCTGACCTGACTGAACTTTCCGGCCCCGCTCCTCTGGTAGAGATGCCTCCCTTTAGGCAGTTCCATTTCTTTGAGAAACCACCATTTTGACTGTTCATCAATAAACTTCATTCTGGCTTAGCAAGTATGGCCTTGTGACTGTCTCTTTCTGCATTGTCTCTTTCTGGCTAGATCTTTGGGAGAGGCTTAAAAGTGAAAAATTCAGGAGGTTCCTTTGTAGGGTCTTTTTATTGAAGAAATGTTATTGAAGACAGCTACGATGTCATGAACTAAGCTAGAATCTAAAGGTTAATATGCTTTCAAAATATTTGATTTAAATTTAGTTTACATCAGTTATGACACTGACTCCTCTTTCTTTTAATAGACTAAATAAACTGATCATTGTACTGGCACTAGAAATAATTTTTACTTCCTTGGTCAGAGTTTTCAATGAAATTGCAAATGCAAAATACAAGGCAAAAGGAGATAGATGTTAGGTAGATAGACGACAGTGTGGTAGAAAAATATGCTGTGCTTAAATTTTAAAATGTATGACAGTACAAGGGACTTTGGCATTAATCCCCCTCAAAATAGTCTCCCTTGCTTCCACCACACTTATCCTATTACTCTTGCAACTTTCTGAAGCAGTTCTACAAGTCCCCTACCCTGAGTGTTCTAAGTGGCTCTGTCACAGCTGGCTCCTGTCCTGAACTGATCAAGACCATTTCCCTCTGGTGGTCATTTTGACTTTGGGGAAGAGCCAGAAGTCACACGGTGCCCGACCTGGTGAACAAGGTGGGTTAGGACACACACTGACGTCTGCCTTTCATCGATGTCCCTGAGCAGCAGCATTCACTATAGCTTTTAGCACACCTTGCGAAGTCACTCGAAACAGTAAAGAGGCTTCTGAAACGGCAAGAACGATGGGATGAATGTGTCCAATGTGAGGGAGGACTTTGAGGGAGATTAATGGCAAGGTGTCTTTTATTGTAGTCAAATTTTTATGAAAAAAAATTTATAACCAAATAATGAGAATAACAATAGTACACTGTATCAGCATCTTCAAAGTAATTGCTCAGAGTAGACAACATCAACGAAAGAGATTTCCTCTTAAAAGAGGAAGCAAGCAGACATTAACACAAACTTTCTTCTCAATAAGATTTCTAGGGCCGGGGATGTACCTCAGTGGTTCTGCCGCCTGCCTCGCAAGTGCAAGGACCCGAGTTCAATCCCTGGTATGCACAAAAAACCCAGATAATAAAATTTTTAAATTTAAACATTCACCATATCTGTCAATCTCCCCTTGGAGACTTTCAGAAAAGTCAATTTTTAATGACTTTTAACATTTATTGAGTATTCCTTGCCCTCTTAAATGAGCTTGTGTTGGTGTCCAATAGTCCTAACTATGCATACAGGTTTGCTGGTCCAAGGGACATACACTTTCTTGTCATTGAAATGTCCTCTAAATATCAGACCACAGTGCAGTGTTTTCTATATACCAAATATAGTCACATAATTCTAAAAGCCAAAACATACAGTTTCTCTTAGAAAAACAAAAAAAAATTTATGGTAATCACTAATTCATCACCTTGGTTGTACCAGAAAAACCCAAGTGCAGTAAGTTCTCTGCAGAATGGAATCTAATTGTGCATTTCTGTGGACTTGAGCTAAGAATGGGGGGCAGCTGCCTCTCTTAATTTCAGTCTTATTCTCCTTGTAATTACAGTAGTTTCCTACCTGTGGCTGCTTCCCCACAGCATCAGTGTCCTTGTTATTATTCTCTTCCCTGCTTATATCTAAGGGCTATTGTAAGAGCCAAAGGACCCTAAGAGTAGACGTCACTGTGTCCTCAGCACCCATTCCATGGGAGTTTTGCGATTCCTACTCTCAGAATGGTTCTCAACTTCTTCCCCAAAGGGTAGCTTTGTGTTTCTTGAAGTATGCACTGTGGTTGGGCGTGGTGGTACACACCTGTAGTCTGAGTTACTCAGGAGGCTGAGACAGAAGAATCCAAGTTCGAGGGCAGACTGGACAACTTGGTAAAAATCTGTCTCAAATTACACATTTTAAAAAGTGCTGGAGATGCAGCTCAGTGGCAAAGAGCTTGCTTAGCAGGCGTGAGGCACTGGATCCAATCTTTAGCATGAGGAAGAAAGGGAAGGAAGGCTGGAACTTGCAATCCTCCTGCTTCGGCTTCTCAGAAAATAAAATGTATTAATTCTTTCATTTTTGTCCATAAATATATTTATAAGAATCAAAGAGAAAAATCAGGATTGATATAAGATCAGTAGTCAGTATAAGTCAGTAGAATGGGCTGGTTGACCAGGTCATCTCTAAAGTCCTTTCAGTTTAACTTGCTAGGTTCTAGGTCATCCAGAAGCATTCTAAGCAGCAAGTGCTCCGTACCACAGATGATGCCATTTTTACCGCTTTCTGCGATCCATCACCAGCACTGGTGGGTATTTCCCAGATGTTCTAGCAGAGCAGGTTCCTCATGTACACCATTTCATTGGTCCTTAACAAAAACTCTAAGAGATAACTGCCATCATGCTCTCCATTTTATAGGTAAGAAACCGAGGTTGAGAAAAACTAAGTTAATTCCAACAGTTCACAAATCATAAGTGACAGAGAAGGAATTAAACCTAAAACTGCCTAAACCCCATCTCTTCCCTTTCCATTACACCAAATCCCTTACCTCCTTCCCAGACAGCAACATGTTGCAGAGAAATTTGATGGCCCCTGGCTGTCCATTCAGGAGTAAGTACACACCGCCTAACAGTCCATCCTCTACTCGCCCTCTAAATTGTGTATTTGCCTGTACAGAGTAACAGCTTTCTCTGGGGTGATTATAGCGTAAGACAAAATGAATGTATACAATGAGCGTAAGAAAAGCTATTTATGTTTCTAAAGTGAGAGCAGGGATGAGGGATGGACAATGATCAAGATATGATACGTGTGTGTACCGATCCTCAAAACAAATGTAACTATGAGAGATGGCAAACGGACACTAAGAAAAAAATTCAAAAGTTTTTCAAAAAGAAAAAAGTGAGACCAAACCATCTATTCATCTGAAGTCAGTCTTTAAATGCCGGCTTGCAGTACCAGCCCAAGGTCCTTAACCTTGAATTGAAGCACAGAATGTTGGGCAACTCAAACCCACTTTCAATTCTCCTGGTAAATTTCAACAATCTAGCCCCAGGTAAAATGAAACTACACTTCAAGTTAATAATTATTTTTTCTTGATAGCAGAGTAGAAAACCAAGGAATTTCACCTTCCCCCCAAGCTGTTCTTCCTTTCTCTATCCTTATTAACTCTAGGTTGACCTGGGCCCTGGTCCTGGCTAATCTCCCAGTTGGCCTTGAGTCAAACACCTTGTGGCCCTCCCTCCGCCGACACCGCACCTTGGTCAGACCAAGCTTCCAGCCCTTTAAAATTATTGATCAGATTGAACTGCTCAAGGCAAGCTGATGATTCAAGGTGTTTGGTTGAGTCAGCCCTTTGGAGAGACTGCCCAGAGCCTGCCTAACCTGGTGCAGTTATTCTAGCGAATCTTCCTCGCTGCTGACCTTGGGGTAACACGTAGCTAGTGCTCCAATCATAACCAAGCCTTCTATGTAATAGTGGGGGCTACGTTCTTGGAAAGACTGTCTTGCTTTAAATTGCACCTCTACCTCTTATGAATTATGAGACAAACTGTTAAATAAGATTAAAAACAATTTGTATCTTGTAGAACTGTAGTGAAGATTAAATTAATTAAAATAGATGCAGCCCTCAGAACAACCTCTACATTCACCTTTTCTCACTCAGCTTTGTGATACTCGGAGAGGGACTAGTATTCCTCTGGCTGGTTTTCTGTAAGGTTCTACCCACAGAGGGCGCTAGAAGGAGCCTGCAAGTCCTAAGAAAGGAAAGAGGCTTTTGTTGCCCTCGGAACCAATAATCTTTTATCTGGCAACAATGATAGTTTGTAGTTCTTCAGACAGGAAGGAAGGAAGGAAGGAAGGAAGGAAGGAAGGCAAAGAGGAAGGGAAGAAGGGAGGAAGGGATCATTGTGCCTCCTAGAAATACCAGCACCCACAGAGTAAGGTGTCCCTGAAAAGATCCAAGCCCTGATCCACAGGGCCTCTGCTCAGGGAAGCACCCAGAGGCCAGGCCCCACATTTCCAAGCTTCTCAAGTCAAATAAACCCAATCTCTGTTTTTCATTCTCCAACCCTAGAGCTGGTAGCTCCTTCCTGTATTATCTCAGTTTTCCTATTTTGCTGTATCCATGCTCCAGTACTTAGTTAACAAATCCCTTATATCAGAACTCTCTCTGTTGAAAGACTTTGTATAAAGTTTATCTTGTTTGAATATTTCTCTGAGTAAACTTGTTACAAAAAATGATGTGATAAATGCTGGCTTTCATTCTTTTCCAACTTTTCTTCCTTAAGGGTTTATTCCATATATCCCAGCCTCTAGACTCCACCCCAAAATCCAAGCACTGAACTGAGTTGTGTACCAAAACTGCAGCAAAGGACTATGGTTGGGTGTGGGATTCTGGGTCTGCAAAGGGTAAGAGCAGGACAGCATCATCCAAGCCGTCACTGTTTTTCTTGCCTGAAATGCACTTACTTGTTTTATAACCATTTCTGATCAAAATCAGCTTAATACCAAATCTCCATGAAGGCTATCTTGATCATCTCTGCCCTGTTTCCTAGCATTTCCTTGTATGAGGATTTGCATGGTAACCACAGGAAACCCTGTCATGTACTGAATCACTGTCACACCACACACAGTGATTATGTAATTCTCATTTCATTCATATAAGTAATGAATTATGTAAGTAATTCTCACTGGATATTTATTTAATCCTTGCAATGAGGCTATAATAGATCACTATTCTCCCCAAATTTGTAGTTGTGCAAACTGACTTTCCTACAATTATTTAAATAACTTGATGTAAGTTACAATCAGGATTCAAAACTAGCTCCAAAACTCCCTCTAATTCCTCACCAGGAACTTAATTCTATGTTGTTTGAATCATATGCATCTTCCATCAGACACCAGACCATGCACTCCTGGTAAACAAGAGACATGTCTTCTATTTTTCTGTCTCCACCACACTCTTCAGACTATATTAAAGATTCAATAAATACTTGATTTAATGATGTATGTGTTAGCTGATCTGTTTTCTAGACTGTAGTCACATACTAACTTTACCCATAATGTATTGCCAGTATCACAGAATTAAAGTGAAAGGGATTTTGGAAAGATTTTTCTGTCTGTCTATCTGTCTGTCGGTCATCATCAGGTTGGGAGTGCTTTTGAAAAACTGAACAAACAGGTCAACAATTTTGTTTTTCTGAAAAGAAAATCATACTGTTTTGCAAAGAGATGGGAGCTCACTCTTCGGGCCATACATAGTCTCCTGAACCTGGGTTTTTATCTGCTCCAGTTTGTGGTTTAAACAACCAACCCTCTGTAAGACTGAGGGTTTATTTGTATTTATTTATAATTGCACATCTAAATAATGTAGTGTGAGCTGTAGAAAAACATCTAGAAGGCTCTGCACCACCCAAGCAAGACCATGCTGCATAGCTTCATTACTCATTTACTCCCTCAAATCCATGGCAAATACTGATATGAATCTGGGAGAATGAAGTCCCGCACATTTTCCCTTCCCAAATGTGTGAAGGGTACGAAATCTGAAAAGCATCATTTCTTAGTTCCCTGGACATCACTCTTGATTCTTCACCCTCAGCAGTGATCACTTGTAAGAAGACATTCTGGTTGTAGAAAAGAGGAAAACCAAGGTAAGTACGGATGTGTTTACATGTCACAGACACCATTTGGAAACTGCAGCAGGAAGCAAGTTTGAATGTCACAATGCAACCAAATAAAACAGAAAGAGAGCTTATGCTCCAGCTGATACAAGAAGTTAGTGCATTATTTGTGTAGGATTATGCAAGCAATAACAAGGAAACAACCTGGTGGATAGAAGCCATGTTCTCTGAAATAGGTGGGTATAAAAGACCCACCACGGACAACTCCATAGAGGAAAACCTCTCCCAGCAACAAAACACCTGCCTGGCTGCTGTCACCATGGGTTGCTCTGATTCCTGTCTCCAAGGCGGCTACACTGCCCGTACTGGCCCTGCCACTAGCCTCTGCTCCTCTGACATCTGCTGTCCATGTGGGGTCTGCCTGCCCAGCACCTGCCCACACAAGATCAGCCTCCTGCAGCCCACCCGCTGTGATGCCTGTCCTCCACCCTGCTGTGTGCCTGACTCCTATGTACCATCATATTGGCTGCTTAGCAAGTGCGACCCTGCCCCCAACCTGACCAAGGTGTCTGTCACCACCTGCATCCATGCTTGTGACTGTGAACCTCCTTGCTGCTAGCCACAGCCCTCTCACAGAACTTGCCCACGTTGCCCTAAGGACCTTCGGTCATCAGTAAGAGACATTTAGAAGACAGCCTTTAATTAGGTGCTCCGGAAGATGTCTTGATCCTGAGCCTTCAGTTTTCCAGAAGTGCTCCTTCTTTGTTTTGGAGGATGATTTCAAAGAAGTGGGAAAAAATGTTATCATGAACCTTGCTTTAAAAGTAAATAAACAGCACTACTACTTGCCAAACCACATACTGTCTTAATGGTTAATGCTATAATTGGCCAAGGACTCTTGACACAGGCATCATGAAGCCATAAACACATCCAGCAGAATTATACTTTGTGATATCATCAGTGTAAATCCTATAGCCCAGAGAAAGTCTCCCAGGTACCTGTAGACATCTGGAAAAAAAAAAACCTGCATGTGTAATAAAATACATTCACTCTAAGCTGGAAAATGTTTTAAATTCCAAAGTTAGAACCTACGTTTAATTTTAGTTTTCCTGCCTATTTAAATAAATTCACGTGTCCTTCAAGAGGGAGGAAAGCTGGAAATTAGCAACATACATTTTAATCTGTAATTCAATCCAGTTCAATAAATATTTACCAAATGCCTACTCTGTTCTAGGCATAGCCCCAGGTGCTTGAAAGAGACAAGTGTAGATATAATTTCCACTTTCAAGAATCTTGTATTAGAGAGAGAAAGCCAAAGGTAAGTGAAACTAATACATACTGAGGAATGCAACATCTGCATGGAAGGGCGATTAGCCCATTCTGCAGGGCAGAAGAAAGAGGAAAATGTCTAGAAGGATCACCTCATTTCTTTATGGAGATAATTGAGCCAAGGCTGGAGGAATGAGTAGGATTTGAGAAGCAGAGAATTGATCGTGGAAGGGCAATTTAAGCCAAAGATACCACATAGTGAGGTCACAGAGGTGCAAAGTACCCAGGATGCTCACTTCATTTGTATCTGGTGTGCCTTACCATGAATAGCAATATTTAAGCCCAAGGCAAACCAACTGCTCTCATAGACTCTTCTTACATACAGTGTCTGACCCTCACTGAAGACACGTGGTGTTTTCCACTGGCTTTTTTTGGTCATCTTTCTCTTCTTTTAAAGATCGTATTGGTTTTTTATAACATCCTGTCAAAAACAACTCTGCAAGGAATCTGTACTTCACATTTATTCAACAATCACTTGCCATTTAGCAAATTATAGAAGTCGGATTCTGCTAACTGAGCAGCTGTGTAAACTACTTTCCAACTGAGGAGGAGGTGTGTAAAGATATCAAAATCACAGACTTTTACACACTAGAGATTGTCCAGTCCCACTTCATCTGCCAATCTTCCAGAAGGCAAATCAACTCCAACTGAAGTGAAGGATGTTGCAGAAGGCATTCGCCAGAGGAATTAGTAATCTAGTTAAAGATCCAAGAGAGAAAAATAAATAAATATGCCAAGTAGGAAGTCCATGAAAAATGATTTATATGAATGATACAGCTCTAAGCTGTATCAGATCAGATCCCCTTCCAAACCCTGCTGCCATTCTGTGAATCTTGTGATTTCTCCTTTTGGTTCAGTTATTTTGTTTTCTCTTATTTTAAAGCATGTGCATTGCTCATGTAAAAGTGAAGACTGAGCAAGTTTTCTTTGAATGGTACATTTAATAAAGGATTGCAACAGGGTGGATCTTTCCTCTAATGATTTTGACTCACTACAAGGTTGGTATAACTTTAAAAATACAGACACTATAAAAACAGAGTAACATGACCTTCAGAAACTCGCTATTGATTTACTTAAAATAATAAAAATGAGTTTAATCCTATATCATTCTGTCACCTTGCTTGCTCCCTAGAACTTGAATTATATCATCAGTAAATAGGACAAATATGTTTGAGATGCATAGAGTAATCAAATAAAACATTCATCTATAAGTAGCCCTATCCTTGTTGACTTTATTGAATTGAAAATGATCCAATTAACTGTTTGAGTTGTTTGCTCTAAAATTAGTAATTAGAAATCACAATATGTTAAAATTAAATTGCAATGGGCTGGAGATTTAGCACAGTGTTTCCACCGCCTGCCTCGCAAGCACAAGGACCCAAGTTCAATCCCTGGTACCAAAAAAATAATAATAATAAAATTAAATTAAATCGCATCATGTTAAAAATAAGGAGGAGGGAACAAGAAGAGCTTAAGCTGTAAAACCATAGCTCACTCGGCTTGATCACCACCACTGTAGTTCATGCAACACTGGGCATTACAGAACCCTGTGGAGATAAAATATGATGATCTTGTGATAAAAATAACAAGTTAATGAGTCAAAAACTTGATTAGTTTAATAAGGGCCAAATTCTTAATAGACAAGAAAATTCCAAACTGATTACAAAATCTTAGTGGAAGAGTGTCATAAACAAAACTAAGAGTGGAAAGCCTTTTTGCTTGGCCCAACCCACTGGGTTGGGTATATAATAGCCCCAAAGCGAGAAGAAGAGACATTTGAACCTCAGAAACCTCATCTGTCTAAGAAACCCAAAGCAAACCAGACTCCCAGCGCCATGGCTTGCTGTGTCCCCTGCGGCTGCAGCGTTCCCTCTGGCCCTGCCACCACCATCTGCTCCTCAGACAAGTCCTGCCGCTGCGGGGTCTGCCTGCCCAGCACCTGCCCACACACCATCTGGCAGCTCGAGCCCACCTGCTGTGACACCTGCCCCCCACCCTGCCACATTCCTCAGCCCTGTGTGCCCACCTGCTTCCTGTTGAACTCCAGCCAGCCAACACCAGGCCTGGAGAACATCAACCTCACCACCTTCATCCAGCCCCAGACCTGCTGCGATCCCTGCCTGCTCCGCGGCTGCTGATCTTCAAGGGGCCAGACAAGACGACCTCTAGTCAGTATTCACTTGCCACAGGAGGTTAAGGTAGACCAGATGGCCTAGGCTTGGGACCCTTACCTTTGTCTCCAATGGAAAGAAAACCAAGATATTCCTCCATGATTATTTAAAGACTGAATAATAATTTGGTTCATTTGGGCAGGTGAACATCTTCTATTATTAACATGCTATGAAAATCTTTACAACTTCAGACTATGTTTTCTTGGTGATGTTGCCTTCTGGATCTTATTTCTTATATTCAGTAGTTTCATAAAAACAAAAAAATCTGCACAGCAGTTTTCTAATAAACTTTATTTCCCTGGCCACACGTGTTCTTTGTTTATATTAGAGTTTGGGGTATATTTCTTCTATTTAAAAAACAGATAAAGATAATTTTTTGCTTCATTAAGGAGTCACCGAAACTCACTTATTAACATGGCTTGCTAACTTTTAATTGGTTCTCTTTCATGCTCACCTCCTGACTCTTCTTTTCCTCTGAAAAATACTATGTTGGAATGAGCCAGTGCTTACCTAATTTTTTCTAGGTGAATCATGTGTATTCATTCATTTAACTCTCAAAATAGCACTAGTGGATGAGAACAATGGGGATTTAAGAGTTATTCAACTTGCTTAAAGTCACAAACTTAGTTACTAAGAAAATCAGAATTTGGGCTGTGGATGTGGCTCAGTGGCACTGCGCCTGCCTAGCAAGCTCAAGGCCCTGAGTTCGATCCTTGGTATGGGGGAGGGGGGAGAAAACGAGACTGTAACCCCTGGTATGTCTAGCTCTAAAGCCCAGTTCTTTCTACCATATCACAGAGCCTCCAATACTAATACAGGCGGAAGCTTAATGAACAAAGCTATGACATCAGTTTAAGATATACAAGAGGGATAAAAACTATAAGTTTTTTTTTTTGAGACAGGGTCTCCCTCTGTAGTTTGGGTTGGCCTTGAACTCACTATGAAGCCCAGTCTGGCTTTAAAGTCCCAGCGATCCTCCTGCCTCAGCCTCTCAAGTGCTGGGATTACAGGCCTGCGCCATCACACATAGCCAAAAACCATAAGATTCTTTAGTAAAATCAACGCAATTATAATAGAAAATGAGTATATTGGCTCATAGATTAAAATCGGCAAGCATTCAGTTCCAAGATCTAGGTCACTTCGTGGGCCAGCCTGTTTCAATTCATTCTCCCTTAGAGAGTACTTGCAGGGGGCAGCTCTGGTAGCGAGGCACTGGAAATGGACCTCTCTTTGCCACCATACCAGGATTAGTGCAGAAGTCCCACCACCGTGCTCAACACGACGCCAACAGTGCCTGGGGCGGCTGGAGAGATAGGGCTAAAGCATTGATTAAACCTGGCTTGCTGCATTGATTAACTTTATCAACCTGCTCGGCTTTATTGCATGCAGATTATGCTTTGCTGAGCCTAGAGAGGATGCGTGTGTGATACGTTTTCTGTGCAATGCAAGTATGTATACAACACATGCAAATATATCCACACATATAGTACACATATAAAAACACAAGCTCAAATCTGAAAAAGCACTGAGATAAAATTGAGAGGAGGTGTGTGGGCTGGAAAAATGTAGGGCAAGAAAGAGGTGAAGCAAACACTTTAAACAGATACGTTTGTAAGCGTCCTTGAAGTACCTGGCAGTCTCTCCAGAGAGAGACTTCTTAGAAGATCCCATAGACTGCTTAAGAGTCCAGCTTCGAATGGACAGAATCCAGACACCATGGGGTAGCAGGGACACACCGAGGACACTGTCGATGAGATATTTAGTGAATTTGCTCATTCATTTGGCCAATATTTTTTGCCAATATTTCCTGAGTGTTTCCCCTACTTCTCGCACCACCTTCAAACTAGAAGGATAAATAAAAAAGAAATGTTATTATGGGGGCAAGGAAGGCAAGGAGGGTAAAGAGATTGAAAACGATCAAGATGTGCCATGTGACCATGCCAGCTCCCCCAAATGAACATACTATTCTGTGAGACAGGCATAGAGGAATCAAGAAAATTTTTTAAATTTTACAAAGGAAATCTTTTACCTAAAGCCCCCTCGAGATTCTCCCAAATCTGAGGCAGCAGACAGGCAAGTTATTGCAATCACAGCACACGTGTGTTAATTCCACGTGCACAGAACTACAGCGCTCTCTGCAGCCCTCTGTGCTGAGGGCCCCACACGTAGGAAGAGGAACCAGGCCCAGCTCTACTGTCGCAGTACGAGGGAGCAGCATGCGCAGAGCCGCTTTGCTCTTGGGATGAACAGGCAGGAAGGAGTGGGAGCCGCTGGTCCAGAGGGAGCAGCAGCTTAATAAGTCACAAGGCTGTGGAAAGTTGGATGAGTCTGAGCGACAGGAGGGCACTGGGAAGGAGCCAGTGAACAGGAGCAAGGCAGACTGCAGCTGGGCTCCCAACACAAAGGCTTTCAACAGAAGTCTCAGAGCCACGGAAGACTGGAAGCCAGACTAGCACTCATACTGTACTTGTGGCTTTTGATTGATGTCTTCTCTGCCACAGAGATCCCCGCTGACTGAAGAGAAATGTAATGAAAACGTGTGTGTGTCTAGATTTTCAGCACTTTGAAAATCTGCCATTTAAACAAGAATTCCCATGTTTTTCTTCATTAATGCAAAGGAAAAAAAGAGATTTTTTTTAAAGAAAAAAATAGGTTTTGTAGCTCTGATGCATGGTTTAAACTTCCATTTTAACTACATACAGGGTATCACAATTCCCGTGGACTCTACATTCAGTTTTTAACAAGTGAGTCACCAGGTCACCTGAGGACAATGATCGCTCTGCTCCAGGACTCTTCGTCCTCAGTTATAAACAAAGGTGGATAATCCCCAGTTCTCTCAGGCCACTGAAGAGAAAATATATCTTAATAAAGCACTATAAGTCTTGTCAATAAAAGATGAGTTTATCATTCACCATACACTTGCTATTTGACAGCTGTTTCTATTCTACAATCTTAAGTCTTAGCTAGAGAAGCAGGATGTTCTACATAAATAACAATTATTTTAACCTTTTGTGGTAAATTTGAAGGACTGATGAGTTGTGAATAAGAAACTGACATCTTTCTGCAAATAATTCTAACTGTGTCTGCAAGCCATTTTTCCTTTGCAATATTTCATTTAAAATGTCAAAATAATTTCCTTCCTTTTATTTTTGTGGGTTATTTTTTCTCTTGGTACCTACTTTTTTTTCTTCGCACTATAAGGCAGAGTAGCAGCAATTTATAATAATATATTATATGTGTGATAAATTTTTCCACCGGACTATAAATTCCATGAGAGCAGGGATAATGTTTATTTTGTTCACTGTCATATTTCCGACATTTATTACAGTATCTGGCACATGGTGAATGCTCAATGAATGTCTATCAAATTGACTTTTTAGCTATGAAATGAAATATTTATCAGTCTTAAATTACTTACTCCATTACCAAGTAGGCAGTTTGGTAGATATTCACACGAATAAATCTGGGGGAGTCCTGGGCCCTCGCCTGATGTCATGAATCCTCTTTTTCAAAGCACAGACATACAAACTTTTTCAAAGTTTTTAACTTATTAATTTATATGCCGCAACTTTTTCTTCTTTATGTTTGAGCATTTATTCATTCATTATAAACTTTTAAGAGTAATATTTGCTATTTCCCACGAGGTTGCTCTCTTACTTCTCATCGGCTCCATATTTCACCTTTTCCTTTTGTCTATTTCTTTTGTCTTTACTTTGCTTTGAACTTGACCTACACCTTACTTCAGTGATGATAATGATTTATCTTTGGGTAAATTATCTTATGGTTGTCTATGGATTCCACCACTTTTTGTCTCACATGACCCTCACAATAATCCTCTAAATGAAGGAATGCAGACATTAGTACCCTTCTTTTGTAGAGAAGAAAGACAGCTCTAAAAAGTGAAATGCTTCCCTGACATGAGAGGTAACCAGCACTTCCAGCACAGGAAAGAGCTCTTGGGCTCCTACTTCCCCATTCCCAAAACATCCCTATATGCTCCCCATCCCGTGCTGATAGACCGAAAGGGGAGCTGGACAATGTGAGAAGAACCGGGCCTTGGAGGATGAGCAAGCCCAGCCATGCTGAGGGGAAAGGATTTGCGGTTTAGGGTGATTCTGGCCACGAACCCAGCTAGTGCTCACTCTGAAACTCTGAGTTATGCCTGGAAGTCAGGGGTGCATTGGAACTGGAATGTGGGTCTTCCCTACCATAGCTGCATTCAATTTGGGAAGAAAATGCAATGCACGGTGGCGGAGGAGGGCAGAGGGGGTGAAATCAAAGTCTACACATTAACCTCGCTCAGGTCCACCGTTTGCTTCCCACTGGTAGCAACTTTACCTGAATTTTAGCATTGTGGGTTTAAGTTATTCTTTCATGTAATCTATGTAGACTTAAGAAAAAAAACTCAACTTGCCTACAATTACCACTGCAGGAAACAAAGTAAGCTAATTTTCAACAGAAAGATAAATACATACAAGAATGCTTTAACCTATTTATGAAAGAAACACAATACAATAAGGAAATTTCATTTTCACTCAACTAATAACACTTTTAAAATATCATTATACATGATAAGGAAGTGGGAATTCTCAGTCAAACACAGCTGATGGAACCAAGTAGAAAAACAACAGGTAAATAGAACTGTCTGGCAATGACTATCAAACCCTTAAAAATATTGAATATTAGCATCTTCCCTGATAGTTCTACCTAATAGTTATTTCTGTTTCTGAAATAGTCAGAAATGTGCATGAAGATATACATACATAGTTGTTCTCTTTTGCCACAATTATCATAGAGAAAAATTGAAAATAACCTAACTGCTCAATAATATGGAAATTTTAAGTAACTTAGAAATGGAATTATATGAAGAATACAATGAAAAATTAAAAGTAACATTATCAAATATACCTAAGAATACAAAATAATGAAAATATATGCATTTAAGTGAAAAAGTAAGTTACGGAGCCCTCATTGCAATGTGATTCTAGTGATGTGATACAGGGATCAATGCAATATACAAAAATGATTCTCCGTATGAATGTAAAATATTGAAAGATAACTTCTACTGATGAGATCATGAGTGATTTGTCTTTATGTTTTTCCATATTGTCCAACCTTTTAATAAATATATAATGTTATAGTTAAAAACTGAAATAATGAATATTTTTTTAAATTGCCCATATTTCTCATTAGACTATTTCTCCACACGAATGCAA